CCCCACAATCACCATGTGAACAAAGGCTGGCCTGAGAATAACTGACCCATTGTCACACAGTGAACTCCACAATTGGGTGGAGGCTTCAACCTAAGTTATGTAGTTGCACTTTTTAATCATTACTCAGTACTGGCTCACTGCACTACAGAGATGTAATAATAATATGTTAGGAACTCCTTCCTAGACAATTCCATGTGCAAAACTCACTTTTTCTTTTGAATCTTTGACACAACTTAGGCATAGATTTCTCTCTGAAAGCGGGTCCCACTAATAAGGTATGATCCTCTGCTATTAAACGATTTCTTGCTCAGTGCAAATTTTATATATATGTGTGCATGTGCAAATGTTGAGAGAGATTACTGTGAAAAAAAATTCATTATCAATACTAACAAACAAAGGGAATTTACAGGAATAATTTCCAGTCTAAGGCTTTACAGTTCCCTCCCCCACTTTTCATCAAGGCTGTCTTTTTCAGAGACTGGAAAGACCAGATTTTGAAGCAGGTGTAGCAAATCATTTTGGGGGAGGGCTGCAGTGAGAGGGACAATGATACAAAGTGTATAGAACACAAAAAGGCAAGAGAAAGGGATTTTTTTTGGTTTTGGAGGAGTTAGGGGTAGGGGGTCCTTTTACTTTATTATATTCAATCTGTTTTATGGTTTACACTAAGTTGTCCAGTATTGGATAATTATGATTGAACCAGGGCCTGCATAAAAGAAATTCTTCACCATAGTCTCATGGTTCTCATCCCTGTCTTAGTCCCTACTGTATTAAATTACCGCATTTATTGGTGTATAACATGCACTTTTTTTCCTTAAAATTTGGGGCTGAAATCCTAGCTGCGTGTTATACGCTGGTACTCAAGCGGCAGGGCTGGGAGAGCAGAGCGTTCATTTGAGCCAGGGCTGTAACCAGGGCAGCTCCGCAGAGCAGGAGGTGAGTGGCAGGCGAGCGAGCAAAAACTGGTGCTCCCCATCGCTCGCGCTAGCACCTGAGCTCCACACAGGCGAGCGAGTGAAAACTGCTGCTCTCCCG